TTGGTCACTGCTGCATCTCCGGCACTCAGAAGAGTACTGGCAGGGTGTAGATTCTTTGGAACACTTGTAGAATACATGAAGAAATAAATGAGTGAATGAGCCCTTCCCTCTTCTCTCTCTCTCTCTCTCTCTCTCTCTCTCTCTCTCTCTCTCTTGTGTGTGTGTGTGTGTGTGTGTGTATTTTTTTTTTTTGAGATGGAGTTTCACTCTTGTTGCCCAGGCAGGCTGGTCTCAAACTCCTGACCTCAGGTGATCCACCCACCTTGGCGTCCCACAGTGCTGGGATTATAGGCATGAGCCACCACGCCTGGCCAATTTCTTTTACGTGGTTATGGTCAGACTGTATATATTTTGTGCCTAACTTTCCTCACCCAAAGTAATACAAATAATAAGCATGGAGAGTATCCTAAGTTTTTGTTTTGTTTTTTAATACAGGGTCTCACTCTGTTACCCAGGCTAGAGTGCAGTGGCATGATTACCACTCACTGCAGCCTCAACCCCCCCAGGTTCAATCAATCCTCCTGCTTCAGCCTCCCCAGTAGCTGGGACTACAGGTGCATGCCACCACAACCTGCTAATTTTTGTATGTTTTGTAGAGATAGGGGGTCAGCATATTGCCCAGTCTGGTCTCAAATTCCTGGGCTCAAGTGATCCACCCACCTCAGCTTCCCAACATGTTGGAATTACAGGTGTGAGCCACTGTGCCTGGCCCTAAGATTCTTTCCATCTTGAAATACAACTTTATTAAAAGAAAATGTGGAAATGGTACTGCTAATTGAAAAGAAAAGAAAAGCATTCGGAAACCCACCCTGATAGAACTATCACTAATGTTTTGGTGTCTTCCCATTTAGCTCATGATTTTCAGAGTATAAGTTTTAAATGATATCATAATGTCATTAGAATTTTGTGTACTATGGTTTTTATGGGCTTGGAAATTTCACTGCAAAAACAATTTAATGAGATACATAAAAATTCATCTAATCACTTCCTTATTCTGTAAATTTGTCAATCTTTTTCTAATATCACACTCGACTTTTTTTTTCATGAAAAGCTTTTTCTAAACTCGGAATTAGGAAATGATGTTTGAATGGCCCCCACGCTACCTCTTACCATCCTACCATGACCCTCTTCCTTCCGTCATCCCACCACTGATGAACCATTTATGGCTCTGGCTTCTCATTTGTTTGAAATGGCTCCCTTAAGGAGTGACCTCCTGGTGTCTTCAATTATTATTTTAAATGATGCCTCAGGCCACTGCCTGGCACAGCGGTGCCCTCACCTTCCCCTCTTCTGCCTTCCAAGCATGGAGCTCAGCTGCCAAGCTGGCTTTGCCCCCTCCTGTCCTCAGAGCTGCCTCCAGAGTCCCAGCAGAGAGCCAGATTAACCCCTTTTGTTAGCAGATGTAATTTTCCTGGGCTCAGCATTAATAAGGAATGCTGTAAGCAGTCTGGTCAAGATGAACAGATCTGTCAAGCCCCAGGGTTAATTTAATAGCAATCTGTAGGCTGTCGGGGTTGTATATTAGCCATGAATACAATGCTCTGTTTTGCTTTTGCCATCTAGTTATTTGGGACAACAGGGAAATAATTTGGATAGAGAGCTCTAAAGGATTTAGAAAAAGAAAAAGAAAATTGACTGTCAAAATGCATCATTCCATTTTCAAGATTGTACATGGAGCCACACATTGCTCATCCTCTTTCTCCTTCCCTCCCAACATGAAGGGCAAAACAGCATATGCTGAAAACATGGGTTGCCCTTTAGAGCAGTGCAGGGGGAAATGCCCAGGTTTCTAGAGGATGCAGATGTCAAATATCCTCTCCCGGCATCTCCATAAGCCATTTAATTTTTGGCAACTAGGCTTCTCTCAAATGTTTCTGGAACTCAGCAAATCCTCCAGCAGGTAAAAATCCAAACAATCCCTTGTCAGTCTTTTGTCCCAAATTCTGCTTTGAAAAAAAAATCATAGCACATAAAAATTCTGGTTCTGGAAAATGCAGTCACCAAAGTGGTAGGTAAATTAAGAGAACACAGACCTGAAGCCATGGATTAGCTGGGATTCTTTTCAAGAGAACCAAAATTATCATGTGCAGAAAGACCAGCTTTGTAAGGCCATTCCTCAGGGAGGCAGAGTGGCATGGTGAGAAAGAACTCGGGTTCCGGAGTCAGACAAGCTTGGGTTCAAATCCCAGCTCTGCCCACTGCACCACATAACCTTGAGTAATTTATCTGAGTTCCCTCAGCTGTAAAATGGAGCTGTTAATGGTCCTGCCCTCATAAGGCTGAGACGAGGGGCAAGGGGGACAATGCATGGAAAGTGCTGGCACAGGGCAGGCCTGGCCCTTGATCAGCATTAGCTACTGGCCGTGATTAGCTTCCTCTTAACTTCACCATCACAGTGATTAAAAAGAGGGAATAGTTGTGGTTTATCCCTAGAACCCCTTTGAGTCAAACATAAACAAGCCCTTTAGTCAAAAAGGAGAGCTGCAGGGGGAAGGAAGCTAATGGCTTGGGGATGAGGGCTGGGTGGTGGGTAGGCTTGGAAAGTCCAGTGAAGGAAAAAAAGATCCAGAGACGGCAGCTCTAGGTAGATCTCGTGGGCACGGCCCCACTGGCGTCCTTGATGGCAGAGGATGTTCCTGGTTTCATAGACATGTTTGGGTACTTTGTTTTTGCACATTCTGACTTCGGGGCTTTATTTTTAGGTGGGAAAAAATAACTCTAGCTGTAGCACCTCCCCCTCCCACACAGCAAAGATCCCTTCCAGTTCAGCTTGTTTTTAGAGCTATACTGGTAGAGGTTGAGAAAGCTGACACCAGATTTTCTTTCTCTATTTTGAGAAAAGAGAAACATGTTGTTCGCTGGCACAGTGAGGTATCAAGGCTCGCTCTGGAGGATGAGGAAATCTGACAGCCGCTGAACACTAACCTCTGTTTACCTAATGCCGTGTCATGGCCACAAAGCCCAGGCCATGGGTCTGTGGCTGGGAGGGCACCAGAGCTGCAGCCTGGAGCCTCCTCCTGAGGGGCGCAGGCTCTTGCTCCACAGCATGTGGTGCTAACTGCAATCTTATTTATAACTCTGGCAGAAGTTGAGTCGAAAGGTAGTATTTTGTGATTCCAGGAGACCCACGTGCCCTGGAGACCCAAGTAATATTTGCATCTGGGTTTGGTGGGAGAAACTGTAGGAACATGAGCTGTTAGCTCAGCCTCAAGCCAATTTTAGAAAGAACCCAACAGGGTTTATAAGAGATAATGAAGGGGAAAGAGGCACAAACAAATACAAAGCCAGGTAATGTTTGATCATTCATGATTACTTTGTAGAGCTAGCAGGACTAAAAATATCAGTGCCTTTGCTTATACTGCATCTAAACTCAAAGGACAGGACTATGCTACCAGCTTCATGAAAAGCATAAAAGCATACATTTCATCCACCTCAGTCTAATGGGACAATTGTATCAAGTTATTGCTTGTTGATTAAATACATTGTTGTCCAAAATGTGGTGTACAAACTCCTGGCACATGCATTTGCGATTATTATATGTTGATTTTATTTATATTATTTAAAATGTAGCTACCTCATTAAACCCATGATTTTATGACTATTGGGTTACTGTTGAGATAAAGCTAAGTAAAGAAAAAAGTGAATCGATTTAAAGTTGATCTGAAAGAAAAATGTTAAGTAAAAAGTACTACCTGATGATGCACAGATAGGGCAAAAATCACAAAGGTGGCTCACGACTGGGAAAATCTAGTAAAGGTGGGTGTCCTGTTGTAATGAGTTGGGATGTAACTGCATCCACATCACAAGGCTTGTTCTTTGCAGGATGTTGGTGGGTCCTCAGACAGCACCTCAGCCCCTCTGTGTCCTGATTCCCCAACCTCTTGGCAGAGGTGTGAAGAGATCTAACCCGCACCTTCACTCATGCCAGACATCCTACCAAAGGGGTTGTTTTCATTGAGTCGCCTTCATAAATAAAAGGCTAAATGTTTCATTCCAGTATACAAGAATACGGTCTTTAAAAAATAGAGGTATGATTCTTGATCAGAAAGGGAAATATTGAGGAAAAAAAAAAAACCTAGATAATAAAACTAAGGATATTTTCCATGGGACCCTAAAATGTTCCAACTGGATGGCTTCTTTCCGATACTTAAAAACTCCCTCACAAGCTCAAAAGCAGATCACAACTTAAAGAGACTAGAACCCTTATATATCATACATGAGAAAAATTTTGCATAATTATGAAAGAGCACAGACTTTGCACCTGGGATGAAATCCTAGTGTTGTCACTTAGCCATGTGACTTGAGGCAAGTTACTTACTTTATGCACTTGGAGCAACTGCTTCTACCCCTGAAAAAATGAGGATAAGGAAAATGCTGATTATAGAGTTCTTGTAAGGATTAAATGAGGTAAAATACATGATATGATCTGCACAGTGAATGGCCTATAGCTATTGCTCAATCATTGGTGGCTACTATTATCATTAACATCAACATATTATAAAGAAGGGCTTAGGGATTTCATGAAGGAGGATGGCAGTCTATTATACATATCACTTATCAGCCCAAGAATCCAGGTAGGGAATCAGATAAAATGAATTATTTGGTTATAATAGAACTAGTGCCTTAATCATTATTATAAAATGAGGAGCAAAATCTTTGCAGCTTGGTACATTTTAGCCTGATTGTACAAGCAGTTAACTTGGGTCGTGAGTGGATGTCTTTTACATGTTTATGGAGGATAAAACACAAACGAGGAGTCAGGAGACCCGAGTTCTAATGCTATCTCTGACTACTGGGTAGCCCTGGGGTATTAAATATTTCCTGAGTCTCATCTGCCTGGGACAAGTTTATAATGAGGATCCACCATGTGCATAGCAAATTCTGACAGATTATACTAATTCAAGATGATGCCATTGCTAATTCTCCTTTTCCCCAAGTTCCTGCCTCCTTCTGCTCGTTCCCTCCTTCTCCTGGTTCCCTCCTTGACTCGTCTGTGCCAGATATCGTGGACATTAAGCCGGCCAACATGGAGGAGCTCACGGAGGTGATCACAGCAGCCGAGTTCCACCCCCATCATTGCAACACCTTCGTGTACAGCAGCAGCAAAGGGACAATCCGGCTGTGTGACATGCGGGCATCTGCCCTATGTGACAGGCACACCAAATGTGAGTAGCAGCTGAAGGGAGGTGGAGGGCATGGCCACTGGCCCCAATGTGTGGGAGGAGGGCCTGGAAGCTTTTGATCTCCCTTTCTATACCAGACACTCTAGGAGTAAAGAAACTACAAGTGAGAGTCAGCTCCGTATTTTATGTTTCAGTAAAGATGAACATTCATGCTCGATTCCAAAACATCCAGAGATCTAAATGAGTAAGACATGACCCTTGACAGAAAAGGTTTTAAATAACAGTGTGATGTGATCCAAATCATGTGTTAAGGAAATCAGGCTTGCTGCCATGGGGAGAATGACGTTGAGGAGTAGCAGGGGAGCCAGTTAGGAGACCGTTGAAAGGTGGCCTAGACAAGGAGGTGGGCACATGGGTTCTGGACACATCTTTTTGTTTTTTAATCCATGTAACCTGCACAGTACTGCTCAGATCTTGGCCATAAAGTTAACGGGACTTGCTGAGCTGCAAGGGAGGCTGAGAATATGAAAGACATCTAGAACAGCAGCTGGGGGAAGGAGCTGGTAGCTTCTTGGAGAGATTGCGGCTACAGGAAGAACAACTCTAGACGTTCCCATGGTTTGAGTGGGCACCAGAGAAAAGCTTCAGAAAGACAGAATGAAAGTACAGCAGACTCATGGCCCTTGGGTCACACTGGAGTTTTCAGGACACTGAGGGAGCAAAGAAGCTCTTAAGTTAGTGGGAGCCAAGTGCTAGGATGCAGAAGCACTTAGCTGCCGGTCCTGATGTGAGCCAGTGAAGCCTGTTAGCACTGACTACAGGTGCTGTGGTAGAAAAGATGGGCCTGGAGCTAGTGGGCATATTTCAAAAAACTGCTCCTTAGAGTAGAGGTGGCTGTAAGGTGGCAGTAGTCACTGCCCAGTGTTGGGCTAAATAATGTGCAGCTTCTAAGATGTTCAGGAGGGCTGTAGCCGTGTACGCCCTGCGGTCGCCTTCTGCTGCATGCGGTTTTGCCACTGCAGTTTGCTGTGGAAAGCCAGAAACGAAGACCTTTCTCCCACAGTTTTCAGTTTCAGTCCCTGCGTGCCGTCGGGGATGTGCTGGCTGTCTGTGTGGGTATATGGCGAAGAGATGGATGGAGAGCTTGTGGTCCTTTTGGTAATTTTTGTTTGCTCGTGTGTTGCCAGAGGTTTGCATGGGGGAGCTGGTATGCAGAGTACAGTGGTAATGTACAGAGCTTGGATTCTAAAATCACATGCGCCCAGGTCAGCACTAGGCTGCCCCCTTACTGGCCAACTTTGTCCGCCTTCCCTGAACGTTTCTGAGCTTCCATTTTCTCATATGTAATGGGTAAGATTGTCCTAACAACCACCTCACGGGTTCATTACAGGGCTTAGATGAGATAAATATTAAAAATGGTTACTGAGATACTCTACATTCTTTCTTTTCTATACTAAGTCTTCAAACCTTGGTGTGTATTTTATCATTACATCATATTTCAATTCAGATTAGCCACATTTCAGGTGCTCAAAATCTCTGTGTAGCTAGTGGCTTCCATATTAGTGTAGACTTAGGACATACCATCATTGCAGAAAATTCTGCTAGAGAGTACTGAGAGCTTCTTGAGAGCGTAGACTGTTCTGTCTTTTTTTTCTCATTTATTTATTTTATTCCATTTTCGGTTTTGGGGTACATGTGAAGAACATGCAAGATTGTTGCATAGGTACACACGTGGCAGTGTGATTTGCTGCCTTCCTCCCCATCACCTACATCTGGCATCTCTCCCCTTGCTACCTCTCCCCAGCTCCCCACTCCCTACCGTCCCTCCCCTATTTCCCCCCAACTGACCCCAGTGTGTCGTGCTCCCCTCCTGTGTCCATGTGTTCTCATTGTTCAACACCCACCTATGAGTGAGAACATGCGGTGTTTGATCTTCTGCTCTTCTGTCAGTTTCCTGAGAATGATGAAAATGCTCATCATCACTGGTCATCAGAGAAAGCAAATCAAAACTACATTGAGATACCATCTCACACCAGTTAGAATGGCGATCATTAAAAAATCTGGAGACAGCAGATGCTGGAGAGGATGTTAAGAAATAGGAACACTTTTACACTGTTGGTGGGAGTGTGAATTAGTTCAACCATTGTGGAAGACAGTGTGGCGATTCCTCAAGGACCTAGAAATAGAAATTCCATTTGACCCAGCAATCCCATTACTGGGTGTTCTTTTTCACTGCTGTTTTCCTAGCACCTAAAACAGTGCCTGACCTACGATCGGTGTTAATGTTTACTGATGTTTGTGCTAGTGTTGATCTTTGAGCAGTGATCTTAACATAAGATGACAAGGGGAAAAGTGTTCAGAACAGAAGAATCAGCTTGTGCAAAGTACTGAGGCATGAAAGATCATGAGTCTACGGAGCTGTCTATGATGACTTGGACGAGGAGTTGAGGCTCATGAGGAATGCCTGAGCTATGCCATAATGACCATGATTTTGAAAACTTGAGGCCAGGCATGGTGGCTCATGCCTGTAATCCCAGCACTTTGGGAGGCAGAGGCAGATGGATCACGAGGTCAGGAGTTCAAGACCAGCCTGGCCAAGATGGTGAAACCCCATCTCTACTAAAAATACAAGAATTAGCCGGGCGTGGTAGCATGCACCTGTAATCCCAGCTACTCGGGAGGCTGAGGAAGAGAATTGCTTGAACCTGAAAGGTGGAGGTTGCAGTGAGCTGAGATAGTGCCACTGCAGTCCAGCCTGGGCAACAGAGCAAGACTCCATCTCAAAAAATATGAATATATAAAAAAGATAAAAACTCGACTTTTTTTTCATCAAAGTCAGTAAATGGTCACCAAAGTAACCAGGGGAGTAATATGATCAGAATTAGCTGTTAGGGAAATTGCTCAGACAGAAGGCAGAAGGATGAAGGTTAAGTTCTGGCTGAGAGAACAAAGAAACAAGGAGACAGGGTAGTAAGCCACTATAATATATATAAGCGTTTCTTAACAGGACACCATTGAATCTTGTGCTATAAAATTCTTTGTTTCTGGGAAGGGGCTGTCCTGCACATTGCAGGATGTTTAGCAGCATCCTTGGCCTTACCCACTAGATGTCAATAACACAAGCCCAGTTATGATAACCAAAAATGTCTGCAGGCATTGTGAAATACCCTCTTGGCAAAAATATTGCTCCCAGTTGAGAACCACTGATCTAGACTGCAATTCATTTGGTCATAGATATGGCCTGATATTCTTGTATCTGCAATGTGTTTGTTACAACAAAGAACTCTCGTATAATGGAAGGGTAAGACTTATCTCCTGTACTCAAGGAATTTAAAATTTGGCTAATGAGACAAGGTGCACCCAGGAAGCATTTCAGGAACAATGTATAAGGCAGTTTAGTTTTAATAGTTTAGCGTATGGTGGAGATAATGAAGTGTTAGTCCATCCAGAGGGGATTGGGACATTTGAAACTGACCTCACAGGGAAGGCAGAGGCTGAGTAGTTGAGTGTTGAAGTACAACAAGTAGAATTTGCTTAGGTGGGAAACAGGAAGAAGAAGATTGCTGGCAGCGAGCACAGAATGGGCAAAATTCTGAAGTTACTAAAGTAATGGAAATTTTGAAGAGTGTTAAAAAGTGTCAGGCTTTTTAAAGAGAAAGGGGAACCTTGGGTTAATAAGGCTAAATAGGGATAATGGTTCATATCAGGTTCATCCTTGAAGATCAGATTCTAAACTGTATGTTGTCATGTATTCATTCATTCAATGAGAACTTATTTTATACCTAGAGTCTGGTTCCCATAGTATCAGGTCCCTCCTAAGGTGTTCCACCAAATACAGTTCTGGTGAGGCCAAGCCATAAGCCCTGCTGCCATGGAAGGAGGGTGCAGAGAGGAATCAAGCCCCTCCCATGTGCTCTGAGTAGCCCAACCTACCAGCAAAGGCAAAACAGTGCATGCCTGGCAGAGAACGGTGACCCTGGAGGGAGCAGGGGGTTAGGGGTGCTGACCGCACCAATTTTCTTTGAAGCCTTATTTTTCTTTCTAAAATTTCGTGTGAATTTTACATTTTAAACCCATAGAATATCTATTTTTGCTTTAATTTAATAATTACATTTCTACCCCACTCCCAAGCTTTAAACAGAATTGATGTTTCTGAAAGATGTAACGTTTATCCTATAGCTTCCTGTACTTTTTAGTATACCCCCATATCCTCCCCTCTTCCTAACCCCTGAGGATACATACAGGTACCCCAGTTTGAGAAGCACAGTTTCTAATATGTGGGAAGTAATTTGAGATCATTTAGCTGGACAGCAGAGTTAATAAAATTTGTATTTCATGGAAGATTAACACAGTGGTCATGTGAAAAAAGGTAGGAAAGTTAGAAGGTTTTGCTTTAGTCTCAATGCAAGGAAAATTTGGAACCTAGGTAAAGAATGGGGGCTATAGAGATCCAAAGGAAGAGAAGGGGAAAAAGGAACATTTTCTTTTAAAATAACTGTGGGTATTGTGACATTAAAGGTTGGCATTCATCACACATGGATGTAATATGCATTGTTCAGTGCCATTCCCCTCTAGATATTAAACTCTTTGAGGATGAGAACTGAATCTGATTTGGTCACATTTTTGAACCCCTGACACACAAGTGGGGGTCAGGATATATTTAATAAATAAATGTGTGGCTAAGGGTTGACATAAATGACAAGTGGGAATGGGGATGGATGGAAAGTCTCTAACTGTCCCCCAGAGAGAGTGAAGGGTTGGAATTCAGTGTGGGACGTGCTATGGGTGAGGTGACATGAGCTGTCTAAGGAGTCAGGGCCTCTCTGGTGAGTGAAGGCAGAACCAGGCTTGCCAGGCCACCAACCCAGGGTGGATGCCAGAGATGGCACAGGAAGCCCTGGCATCCCCATAGCCCAGTGTGGCTGACACCAGCCTTAGCTTTGGAGTCAGACAGACCTGTGTGAGTTCTGGATACTGGGGAATCAACTGATTGGGAAGCTTGATGAACCCTGAACAGAAGGGCAGGGATAGGAAAGGAGCAA